TATACAACTAATGCTAGATACAATAATTAATTCAATATTACAAACTTTATACGTTTTATAGAGCAAAAGTGTTGCCTCATATGAAATTCTAAGAATGATGATGTTCAAGCGTAACAAACTGCTTGACACAATCATAATAGCTGCAGCAAGAGTAAAATGAAAACACGAACACGCAGAAAACGCAAACAAAAACATAAGAGCGAAACTGATACAAGCAGCGCGTTGTGCGCTGTTGTTATTGTTTTTATTGTCAGTGCGATGCTGAGAGAGAATTTTGCGCCGCACACTTTGACGTATGAATGTGTAGTAAAACTGAGACCAGGACAACGTGTCCATTGTCGAAATCGACACCGACATCTCAAAATTGGAATTGGTGTAATCTTTGTTTTTTCCAATTTCATTATCTGTTCCAACAACACAGAGAACGGCCAATATTAAAATTAATGTTAGCATTTATTGTACATGTAATGATTCCGTTTTCTTTAACAGCACTAGCCATGACACCCTGTTGCTTCTGCGCATCGTTTTCCCTCTCTCTCTCTCTCTCTCTCTCTGCCACTCTCTCGCACTCTTTGGCTTCGCTCAGTTCGTGCACTCGAATGTCAGCATAAAAACAAATGTCGAAGCAAATTTGTTGCCATTTTGTTGTTTTTGTTGCGCGCAGACCAATTGGTCGCTGTTGCATTTCACTTTCATTGGAAGTTTTAACTAAAGTTCTAATTGTGAGTGACTTTTTATCAATGGTAATGTGAGTTCTAATAAACTTATTTTCGCACTTGCACTTACACTAACATACATACATACATACATATGCACAAACTTATGTTCATAATGAAATGAATGAAAAACAGCGCTGTTATTATCATTCCATTCTTGACATACATACATACATGTATTCATTGCATCCATATATGTATGTAAGTATATTTATTTGAAAACTTTTACTATCAGCATTTTCAAAACTTTTTAAAAAATTTGAACTTACACTTATGCCAGACTTTATTTATGTATATGAATGTACTATGCTCACAATTCTCTAAAATTCTCGTCTGGTACACGTCCACTTCGGTTAACAGAACTTGATCAACTAAATCAAGAACAAAATATAAAAGCAAGCACAGCTAAGGAGTTAGCGCACTTATCGCCGGTCTGGAAAGGGATAGTGATAGGGAGAGGGTGAGTGACAGGGACAGGGACAGGGACAGGGACAGGGAGAGATCAAATAGCTGGAGTCGTCAAAACAAAACAAGCACATAGAGATGAACCGTTAAGCGTGTCACAGTGACAAGATTTTGAATGCGAGAAGTTTGAGTATTTCATTAGTTCAGTTATTCATAATTGCTTGATTAATCACTTAATTCACTGAAAAATGTCATTTTGTTGATCAATTCAACTGATAACATAAAACTTGTTAGTTACATTGATTTGAAATTATCAGCAACTTTACAGTAATGTTAAGTGAGCAGTGCAATCTCTAATAACAGACAACTAAAAATTCCTGGTTACCGTTAAACATAGCTTTCCCGTCTCTGTTAAGTATTTCTGTATACATTCGAACAAAAGTCATTTATTGAAAGTTACGATCAGATTGATCGCAAGAAAAGCTCATCTCTAACATGTCACAAACCAAGCAGTTCTGATGATTGGCTAGAAATGCGATATTGTATACAAATGTATGTGCATTTGAGTATGTATGTCTGCAAGTGGGAGTACTTGGCGCTCAATGTTTTCATTCGGAGATCGTTCGAAGAGGCAATAAAAAAGGACGGCGTCCTCAAATTTCCATTGCTGAAACTGTATTCCAATACATAATCATACAGTTTTCTTTAAATGTACATGTATATAAAATATGCTTATACATCATTATTTGGATGTACATATACTTTATACATACATACATAACCCCCTTCCCATAAGTCGAATAGCCTAATTGCACACTAAAAGTATGCAATCGAAAGCATTAAATATTAATCCAATCCGTATACGTAACATATATTGGAGCCGGAAGAATCAGATTACTATGTAATCCATGTCTGACATCTGATTATCTAATAAGAACAATTTCGTTCATTTTCACAGAAGCCTCAAAGCGAAAATGGAAAAATCTTCGCGACAGCTATACAAAATATTTGCGCTCCTTTCGTGTTGGCACAAAAACTTCCAAGAAATATCAGTATTGGGCGCACGCCGATCACATGGAGTTCCTGAAGCCTTTCCAGGGACCCGGCAGGTGAGTTTTTCAAGCCTTGCCTCGGCTATGGAACACTTACTTACTTAATTGGTGTGCTCTCTCACAGGAATTCGGCGAATGGCAATGGCAAGTCGAACGATGAGGATGACACCGAATGCGACTTTGGTTATCAGGTGCTTGCCAAGGCGGCCAGCAATGGAGGCGAGGAGGATCTAAAGATAACCATAGCCACGGCCACGGCGACGGCCACGGCATCGACCTCGGCGCTGAGCACCCAAACCGTCAACAGCTACACAACCCCAATACTGACGCCCAGCGTGGCAGCCACGCCGCCCAGCCTCATCTCGCCTGGCAGCAATGCCGGAGCGCCGCCCCAGAACCACAACAGCAACAGCAATGGCAGCAATGGCAACTGTGCCGCAGTCGCTCCACTGACACTCAGCGCCATGACACCGCCAGCCAACAGCAGCAGCTCGAATAGCGGCGTGCTGCCTCTGCCCGCCTTGCCGCTCAGTGCCGCTGGCAAGGCTTCGGTGGCGGCCTCGGTTAGTGCCAACGCCGCGGCGCTGGCGACGCTAGCTAGTCTGCCCATGGGCATTGGCGGTCTGCCGGCTGCAGCGGCTGCTGCGCAAATGTTTCCACTGGCCACGCTGAAAGCGGCCGCAGCTGCCGCTGGACTGCCGCTGACGTCCACGCCCAACTGCAGCACGGCCAATAATGTGGGCTGTTTGATTATCGAGCCGCATCTGTTTGCCGCCGCGGACAACTTCAAGAAGGAGCTGAGCGCAGCTGCAGCGGCCGGTGCGCCGCTGGGTCTGTTCCAGAATTTGGCCAATCGACATCATCTCAATGGTAATGCTGCATCGTTGGGGCTGGGCAATCCCACGCCACCGCCGCCACCTCCGGCGCCGCCCAGCTCAAAGGTGCGCCGGGCGCAGCCCTCGCCGCAGACCGCTGCCATTAATCTCAGCTGCCCGAGCTCATCGGCAGCCGCAGCGAACTGCTCTCAGCCCTCACCCGCCAAGACGCGCAAGATGAGCGATCCGCGATTTCCCAGCGATTGGGATGTGTCCGCTGTGCTGCAGGCCAATCGGGAACTGGACGCCAATACGCTGTTCTTTCTCAGTCTGGCGCGGCAGGTGCGCGCCATGCCCATGAAGTTCCAGTCGCTGGCCAAGATGCGCTGCATGCGCATCGTCAGCGACATTGAGCTCGAGCTGGAGAATTTTGACTGCAACGGCGTGCCGCCGCCCGAGGAGTCGGGCAGCACAGCGAATCTTAAATACTGTACCGACACGCCGCCGCCACCGCAACAGGATGGCTCAGCGCTGATGGCAGCGCCGGGAATGGGGCCCGAGGGCTCCACGGAGCACTTTGTATATGTGATGTCGCCGTCGCGCGTGGAGAGCATGATCGATATTTCCTCCGACGAGGAGAGCAATATGAACGGCGGATTGAGTGCGGCTGCAGCAGCTGGTGCCGCCGCAGCCGCCGCCGCTGCTGCAGTCGCCGCGGGAGCTGTCCATTGAGGCGCAAATCTCTGGCTACCTTGCTTATAAATACTTACATATGTATTGTTAAACTTAAGTAAACTTAATTAGATGCATTAAAATGCAGTTTGTCGTCTTAATTCGGGTTGATGGACATTTGACTTTTTTTATTTACACGATTCTCGAACTTTAAGACTTAATGATAAAAAATGTGGAAAATCTCTAGAAAATGTTACACTAGATGGGCAGCCCATCCGGCGTCTTTCAGGCATGCGAATCGCTAATAATGTCGTGAATTTGTTTCTACTTGGTATGGTGAATGAATTTCATTCAGGAAGTCGACGCGCGTCCCATTCCAGGCACATGCTTGGCCTTAGGACTGAACCTTGCTCTTGGTGGTGAAGGCAAAGTAGGCGACGCCGCCCACGAGCACGGCGGCGAGCAGCTCCGCCTTAATCCAGGGACCCTTGTATGCGCTCTTTGTGGGCACCGTAATGTCCAGCAGGGACTTGACCGAAGACACCTTGTCGCCATCGCGCTGTGCCTTGCGCACATTGGCATAGCCGTCCTCGTCGAAGAGACGCACCTGCACGTTGCCGCTGCTGCCCTGCTTGATGTCCTCCACCCAGCTCACCTGCGAGTGCATTGGATGAGACTGTTGCTCTGGTGTCCAAGAGAATGGGAAAAACTCACCTGGTATTTGCTGTCGCCCACCTTGGCAACGGGCACCACCTTGCCGCAGGGGAACTCGGCAAACAGACTGGGCTGGGCCGAGTTGCTGCACTGCAACGTAAATTCGGCCACATGCGCCAGCTGGGTCAGAATTGTTGCATCCTGAGTACTGAAGGCATTCAACGTGGCCTTGCAGCTGCCATGGACGCCAGTTGCACAGGCGACGGCAATGAGGCAGAGCGCAAACAATTGGCGTTGCATTTTCTTGCGTTTGTGTTTTAATTGAAAATTTAATTAACGAAATACAGCTTACAACTTGAAACCAATCGGCGGCCGAAACTTTCTATCTCTGTCAACGCCACGACAGCAAACGTCATTTGACAGCCGACGGCGACGGGACGTCAGCAGCAAACGTCATTTCTCAACATTGTTAACGTTTCAATGTTGCCGGATCGTCTGAGTTAACTCTGCGCTAACTGACAAGGGCTGCTTGCTATATGTTGTTATATGGCAATCAGCTTTAATACAGCTGCGTCTAGTTTTTAAATTGTTTGGCGGTAAAATTTTCAATCTTGATAACAAGCAAATATTCAGTTCAACAAATTTCAAAAACGAAATTCATCTACCATTTGTAATCAAACGTAACATAATGATAATGAGGTCATAAATGTAATTTGATTATTATTAAGTATGCTAGCGTTTTCCTGTTTAGCAATTCGCGCCTATTATATTGGTTATCCACGGTATGAAGCTGGCAATGTTTGTGTAGACGGCCGGAAAGCCGCTGCCGCAGCTGCGCGCGCCATAGCTGACAATGCCGAACTGGACAAAGCGTTGCCTGTTCGAATAAATGGCCGGGTACGACAACGGGCCACCGGAGTCGCCTCTGCAAGAGTCGCTCCGAAGTGCTCCGGCACAGAGTTGGGTCTGTTTGATTTCCCGGGCGTACGAATTAAAGCACGATCGTCGCGTCTGTGTATCAATGGCCGTCTCCAGCAGCACATCGGATTCGCTGCCATCCTCGGTGGTGCCCCAGCCCGTTACAACAAAATTTTCACTCGACTCTGCCCTTTGCTGCAATGTTGCATTAATCGGCAAGCAAATGGGCCTGATGTGTGCTACAATCAGGGAATTATTAAGAGACGTACTCTCCACGTTTCACACGAAATACTCACGCTTAAAGGCCACCGGGCGGGCCAGCTTAATCAGAGCTATGTCATTGTGGTTCGTCTCCGGCACGTAGTCCGCGTGCCTAAAGACACGCTCCACGTCAATATCCTCAACGGGCGGCAAGCATCTGATGGTTCTGCCCGCTGGCTTGCAGTCCGTTTCCGTAGATAATTGATGTTCGCCCAAGCGCACAGATACCCTGTAAATTGCAATTGTAGCCCAGGTGCTGTCGGTTTGCTTTGTTATGCTTACAGTTCGTATCGCGTCAAGCAGTGGGCGGCGGTGAGTACGAAGCCTGCATTTGAATGAAAATTGATTTAGTTCCTGTCAAGAGATCCTTGAGTCACTTGCTCCGGCCACTTACGATCGGTTATGAGGGTGCCAGCGCACGCAAAGGCCTCGTCTTGTCCGAGACGCAAACGGAGCAAGCTCATCCAAGGCCTGGAGCCCAGGGCAACCTCGTGACCATTGGTTATTCTGATCGTTAAAAAAATGCCGCACTTTTGTGCTTCCAATATTCGCAGTCCATTCGCCTCGTCAGCCCGCACACAGAACTGTGGATTACACTCAGATATCGCTTAAGTCCACAATTGCCGATTCCAGTTACTTACAGACTGGCTCCACAGGATCGTGCACAGAATCAATAAACTGGAACGCATTTGCATCTTGCTGAATGCACTTTCGTTGCGCGTCTACTGAAGATTCGCATTTGTGCTTGCCTCTTATAGGCACAATCAGAAGCATAAGAGCTTATCACGTTTGTTGGGTCAAATGTAAATAAAATACATAATAATAAAATACATATATATATACCTGTGCTTATATTGATAAGACCTCAATCGTTCCTAACAACAACAAACAAAGGGTAAGAGCAGGGCATACAATGTGGTTAATTTTGTGGAAAAGATTTGCATTTCCGAAACGAGCGGAAAGTGGGTGGAAAAGTGTTTTTTTAATTAAAGGATGGGCAACGCCGGGTAATATCGGGTAAGATAATGTTGACCCTCTCGGACATCTCTGATGCTTTATGGCATTAGATATGCTTTATTCTCTGTCTTTAACATAAATTTGAATTTGTTTTTCGTTTGGTAAATACTGCCCTTCTATGCAATTCTCATGACTCACGATACATAAGATTTGTAGGTATTTATGCTTTGATTACGTGTTTTAATTATCCATCTATATTTTCCCTCTCTTTCTCTCTCTCCGTCTCTCTCTCTCTCTCTCTCTCTCTCTGTCTTGTACTCTACCTCTGCCAAACCTTTTCTCATTGTATTCCTATTTATTTCTCCTACCTTGACTCTAGCCCCTTCCATTCCCACATCCATTTTCTATGTTTTATTAACTGTATGAGTTGAATCATGAGCAATAAAAGTCCTGCAGGGTAGCTCGTAGTCAGTCACCTTTTAATGGCAATCGTTAATTGAAATGGTTATGGATCTCGGCCGGGCAAATGCGGTGCCTGCTCGTACCGGCTGGTATTTTGACGCCGCCTGACAAATATGAATTTATTTAGCGCCGTTTGTTTAGCTCATTTCTACAATTATAATTGACTCGTGATTGCGAATAGCGAAAATGAATTTTCCTGCCAAATTGCCGGCAAGAAAACGCTGCTGAGGGTTGGCCAATAAATATCGACTTGTTGTGATTAATGCGCCCGGCGCCGGCTCCTGATCCGGCTCGACTTTCGGTTTTGTTTTGAGTACTCGCAACAATTTTCGACTGCAATAGAATCTATTCGAATATACTTATATCCAAATGCTCGCATGGACGGGAATATGTGAATGGCATGTGACCCTGAAATCGGCTTGATTTGGTGCTCGATGCCATTTGCTGTTTCGTTTTTGTTTTTGGTTGCCATTGTTTCTACTACCATGTGAGCCATGCCCAACCCCATCCCGTCCAGCTATGACTGCCTCGCGGAGCAGTTATGTTTGTTACTTTTTGATTGCCAGCGTGCACGAAAAACTTTTATTCAACTTTGCATGTCTTTGATGAATTTGAAATTGTCACAAATGTGAAAGTTTTTCACTTGCCATCAGATATTCGTATCGCTACTCCCCCTCCCACCCTACTCCCCCCCACCCATCTCTGTGCTTCAAAATTTGCATCTAACATTTGTTGACATTGAGCGACTTGCACGAGCTGACTTCACGCACTCTCGCCCGGCGGCGATTCATTCATACATTGGGCCCATTGTGTTGGCCCGGATACGCACAGGGATTCCTTGGTTAAATATCGTAATCCTCTCGGCCCATTTGATAGCATAGCAAAGTGGGCGTGTGCGTGGGATATACCATATTCGGCAGGCGTCGAAATGAAAACAAAAGTTCGTGCGAGTTCATGGAGTTGGCAAAACTTGCCAGTCAGCCAATCAGCCCTAAATATGCTGGCGAGGGACGCTTCACAAATACCCTGCAAGGGATGCAAAGGATTATAATCAAATTCCAACAACGAAACTCGATTGAATAGAGGAGATTTCTCTGTGCCTCAGTTACGATCTTTTATTAAGAAACTCATCAGCAATTGTATCATAAGGTTCTTCAATCTTATTATGTATACCCTGTAACTGACAAATGGGGTATAATGTATTTATAAAAATGTGTTTAAGAGGCCTCTCTGACCCCATAAAGTTTATATATTCGTGATCAGCATCAAAAGCCGAGTCGATCTAGCCATGTCCGTTCGTCCATCGATAAGAATCGATACCTAAGCGTCAAGGCAATCGATAAGAATCGATACCTGAGCTTCAAGGCGAGCTCTAGTCTGTGACTGAATTGTGATCTTGTCGAGCAGCCCTCGATGCGGCGTTGCCTGCACGTGTGCGCTCCGGCGGAAATGGAACAAACAGTTCAGTGGGAGTCAAGCCGAGCGACAGCCGAGCCGCTGCACCGCTGGCGATGGCGCCGCTTCCAGCACGGACACGGGCTAGGTAGTGAGTGCGGGTGCGGGCGTGTGTTGGTGTTGGTGGTGGTGGTGGAGGGGGTGGAGGGGGGCGTTAGCAACGCCCATGCCGCCAAGTTGTTTGTTGGTTTGTTGACTTGTTGGCTTGTTTGTTGGCAACATGACGAAGCTGCTCCAAGCGGTCGCTTCATTCACAAAACGCAGTTGGCGCGCGGCAGGCAAACAAAGTGGACGTGGAAAGTGAGAGCCACCCGAGCTGGAAACTGGAACCTAAGGCGGCATGGTGAAGGTGGACGCCTGGCACCTGGCCATAACAATTGCAAATTAGCTCCAAGTGAAAGTTGACGTCAACTCAAGTGGCAGCCGCGCCGGTTCGTGACTGTAGCCGGTTTTTGTTTTCGATTGGGATTCGAGCCCGCAACCCGCCCAACGCCTTTGTTGACAAAGTTATTGCCTGGCTATTGCCTAATGGCAAAGTAATTGATTTGCATTCGATGAGGATGTGCGGCAATTGATTCTCTGCTGAAACATTCGCACAGCAGTCGGCTTTTGGCCATCAAACGGAATACCACACACACTCCTGGCCATGTCGTTGTCCGTGGCAAGCCGCCGTCGCTACCAGACGACAACAACGTCGACGTCGACGTCGACGTCGACTGCGTCGCTGGCTGTGCGCAAGCAGCACTCGCTCATGGAACCGGCCAGCCACGTCCATGGCGTCAGCAGATATTCAGCCCAGCAGCGCGGCTATTTAACGCGTGGCCTCTCCGTCGGCCGCTCCATTGAGAACATTCGCCAGAAGCTGTACGCGCCCAGCCCGGCGGGCCGCCTGAGCCGCCAGACATCGCTGGCCCTTGACGAATCCGCGGCCAGAATGGCGGGCCGGCTGACGCCCTCGCAGCCAGAACTTGGCATTCGATTGAGGGACAAGAGCCTGGTGGCCTGGTCATCAACATCCACTCTGCAGAAGACGCCGCTGGCCGCTGGCGGTGGCCAGAAGCAGCGGCTGCCGCAGGAGCAGCAAGAAGCCCAAACAGATACAGAAAAGTGAGTCAACTACTAAGCACCCTTTCCAGTTGGGGGCATGTCTGGGGTGTATCAATGGGGAGTGCTTCCGGTATATTCCTGGTTTATATACCTCGTACATTCCAGTTTCCCTCAAACACAAGCTCACAATCAATTTTGTGACAAGTCAATATAACCAGGAAGAGCGACTCTCTCAAGGGCAGCTGTGCGTTTTAGTAGTCCCATATATATGCAAAATCCTATCGACATCGGCCAACTATATCATATAGCTGACATTCGACAAAGAAAGTTGCTGCATAGATAACTTATATACGAGATATCTGGACAAAACTCGACATTAACTATTTTCCCTGTGCTTCTTACATTCGAGCAAGGCATTTTGAGTATTATGCAAAGGTTCTGTCTGCAAGGGTATTAAATGTTCGGCATGCCTTCACTCACGATTAATAATGCGTTTAGAGTATGCAGGTGTGCATAAATTCCGATCAAATATATATAGAAAAATCTTTATGGAGTCTGAGCTGTCTTCTCCTATGTGTGACACATTTCGCGTATGTTATACTATTTGTAATACTTTGAGTATCTGCTAGTTTATATTACTCGTCCGACTCAATATTGTTCATGTAGATACAAGCAATTAATCAACAACAAGTGTTCGATTAAAATTAATCAACTTTATAAAAAAAGCTGACATCATAAAGTATTGTTATAGAAAACATAATTGTTCTCAGAGATATCTTCAAGCTCACTTTCATTGAATTGCTTTCGTTTTGTGGCCAAAACAATGTTATCAATTATCGTTCGTTCTGTATTCTGTATAAACACAAAAAGTGGGATTGCTTATATTATTATACTGCACGATCCTGATTAGATAGACATGCTCCTCTGTCTCTTCGTCTCACATAGTATACCTATAACAAGTTTTTATTTTACATCGAATTGAAGAAATGTTTTTTTCAAGCATATCTCGAAAGTTAGAAGAGCTAGAGAATTGCATTTGGCTAGACTCTGGTATATGGAGTATAAGATTTCTAATTTTTCACATCTTCTATGCGTGCCTCTCCTGAATTTGGAGGAAAGCCCCCGCTTAAACAAAGTTAGATCTGCTACATGCATGTTTTTGTATCAGCGCATGTGAAATACTTATATAGATTAGATTAGAAAAATGCTTATTAGAGATACAATCTCTAGATATTTGCACATGTGTAGATACTTACATACATAGATGGGCAAAAGTTAAGGAAGTTTTGTTTTGTATGCCAGAATGTCAAGAATCAGTTTGACCTTGTCAAGTTTGCAGCTCCACATGCGTAGAGCTTATTAACATATAAATGCATATTTTTATATTCGCATAAAACGAGCTGGTTGCCCTTCACGCGCTCCTGCTCGCAACGCTGCTTCATAAATAAATATGCCTAAATGACACTTTCGATGCTTTGCGCAATTTGCATGCTTGACGCCGACATCAAAGTTTTACATGTTTTACGACTGACATGCGTTCGCGGATCCGGCTCGGGCCTGGAGACGTGCTCGAGTGCGGGCCACCTTTCGTGTCACTCAGGCACCACGTCGCGGCACAGTTAAGTCGATCACCAGGCGAGCGGAGGATTAGATAGCCAGAGCTGCGAGTGTAACTGTAACTGCAACTGTAGCTGGAGCCGCGATTGGTTCATTGAACTTTGGCCCGAGGCACAGCTTTGCGCTGAACAACACATATTTTTTGGGCGCGAATTGTAAATGTAATTGACATGGTTTCGTTTTCAAATTCGAATGCACACAAACAGCAAGACAGACAGACTGAAGCAGGAGCTTGCTGCCTAGCGTGTGGAGGAGGAGAAGGTGGGGCAGGTGGGGCGGGTTTTAGGCGTTGCACGAATTAATTTCTATTTCGGGCCGCAATGTTGCATGCGGCCGATTCGCATGTGGAATCGAGCACAGCATAAATTGCAAACTAATGCCGAATAATTTGATTTAAATTTAGCCTAGCCCGAGTAGGTCACTCGGTCAGTCAATCAGTCAGTCAGTCAATCAATCAATCAGTAAACACTCATATGCTTTCTTGATCCCACAGCGCCAAGGCGGACAAGAATCGCATCAATCTCAATATTGTGCTGGCCCAGACGATACGCGCCACCAACGAGCAGGAGCCCAGCCACAGCGACATTGACAGCGCCACGGAGTGCAGCGAGTTGGCCAAGGAGCAGAGCACCGCAGCCAAGCCGACCATCACTGAGGCGAACGTCTCGGCCGCTTTGACCGTTCAGCGGCGTCCGCCCTTGGTGCGCGCCATGTCCGCGCCGGTGCGCATGGACGAGAGCAGCAAGAGCGCCCTTGCCACCGCCGCCAGCAAGCGCAGCCAGCAGAAGCTGCGTAGGCGCAAGATCTTCACGCGTGCCACCTCCTCGGTGGCGGTGCCGTCCGATAACAGCCCCATGCTGAGCACCGATGCCGGCGGCTCCAGCAAGAAGGCTCTCAGTCGCACGCGCAGTGTCATTGCGCCGGACGTTATCACCCTGGTGTCGCTTCTCAGCTCCGAGGGCAGTGACTCGGAGCGTGAGGAGAACTCCCCGGCCTCCAGTGAGAAACAGCCGCCGGCGGCATTGCAGCGCAGTCCGCAGCGACGGGCGCCTCTGCTGCGCAAAACGGGCAAATCGGGTAAGTGCAGAGGGCAAATCCTTGTTCTTGTGGGCAGAGATAGAAAAAGGGGAAGGAGAGAGAGAGAGAGAGAGAGGGAGGGAGAGAGTGAAAGTTAGGAACGTTGTTTAACCAGGCTTAGTCAGATGGACTAACTCTTTTTGCAGTCTCGTTTCAAGACAGCTATCCGCCCACCTTTCAACTGGCCTCCAAGGAATACTCGCATATGATCAGGCGCGGATCGATTGCCCCGCTGGCTGCGCGCATTCGCGCCAATCGACCTCCGACGGCGCCGCCCGTCTCCATTTTTCTCAGCGAGCCTGGCAGCGAGTCGCGTCAGCGACAGCAGCAGCAGCAGCAGCTCTCTGACTCATCCAGTTCACCTTCTGAGGAGGACAAGAAGGAGAACAACGCGGCCAACTGCAACGTGCAGCAGCAGCAGCAGCAGCAGCAGGAGTACAATTTTCCGCTGTACGTGTGCAGCATCAAGGAACGCGAGTGCTGGAAGCTGCACCAGAAGATGTGCGCCAAGGGTGTTAGTGTCAGCTATGATACCGTGCTGCGGGGCATGTTGACGCCCACGGAATTCCGCCAGTTCCAAAAGCAGCGCGAGCACGAGCAGGCCAAGGCCCAGGAGGCCGCCGATGCGCAGGCCGAGGCTGACGCTGCCGTAGCCGGCGACAAGGAAACCAAGAAGACGCCAACAACGGCCATCGAACGCCTGTCCGAGTCCCTGCTGCAGAGAGAGTGAGCACGGCAGAGCGCACACGGCCGAGGACCAAGTTATGCATTTGCCCCAAACAAAAACCCATTCAAGCCCCTTTCCCGGGCAGATCTTCATACGTAGAAGTAGCGTGCACTCGTTAAACAGCTACGCACCCAGCTGAGTCACAATCCGAGGATGCATCCTGTTGTAGTTGTAGTTGAACTAGAGTCGCCAGTTCATGCTTGAAGACGCTGTGCAGGCCAATCGCAACTGAAATTAGCTGAGAACAATAAATTGTAGACACCAAACACAATTTCTTGGAGCAATTCAATTGTTTTATTCGATAATAATTCGTATGCATATAAGTCAAAAGATTAATTCATTAATAAATTGGAGCTCGCAGACATTGTCAAGCTGATTACCCAAAGGTAGGCTGGAAAATCAAAGGGAAATCAAATGAAATGAAATTTAGTCAAAGTCTTTTAACTTTTTAGCTTTTCAACTTTTGTGAGTTGTTGCGTTTTGAGGTAAGAGGAAGGCTCATTGGAGTTGATTTCCTGGACTAGTTGTTAGTAGATAGAACCAAGTTCTATTTGTAGCTTAAGGTGTTGCCCTCTCGATGGGGGGGTTGTAAAAGTTATCCAGAGCGGGACTTAACTTCTGGTAATGCATAAATTGACTAGGGAATAAAATAGGCTCATGCATATATATTTAACGGACTGACATGAGATCCATATTGAGCTTGAGATTAACTAGATGCTTGGTGGGAGTTGTGCTTAGTTCGCTTGGCGCGCGTATCGTATGGCGGAGGCCAGATAGCAGGCGAGGACTATGCCCAGGATTTGTATGAAGGCGATGCCGATGCCGACGCCAATTAGGATGACGGCGTTCTTATCGATGCGCTCCTTGAGCTTGCCGACGCAGCCCTCCTGGAAATACTTGTCCTTGCCAAGGGCCGGCGATTCCGTGCAGTGTCCGACGGCGGCATCGATAAACTGCGGCTGGCAGCAGCTGGCCGGCAGGGTCTTGTTCAGGCTGAGGGCACGCCAGTCGGCGGGCGTGTCCACGCCGCAGCACATCAGCTTGCGCTGGACATTGTCCCAGGCGATGCTGTCCTCGCTGTTGGAGCGCTTGATCGACTCCTGCAATGAGTTCTTCAGCATGCCCTCCAGATCCTTCTTAAACACGCTCGCCGCAATGCCCACGGCCAGCTCCACAATAAAGATGATGGCCAGCAATACGGCGTACTGTTGACAGGTGAGTAACAGGTAAGTTGTGTGTGGCTAAAAGTGTGTGTGTGTGTGTGTACGCACCGTTAGGAGCAGAGTGGGCGATTCCTTGATGGCGCCAAAGCAGCCCAACGAGGCAATCAGGAAGATGACCAGTCCGGTGACAATAAGCACAATTGGCGGCGCCAGGACGCGTCCCTCCACAAAATGGTTGAATTCATTGACATCGGCCAGGACGATGGCTCCGGCCACCAGTATGCCAAGACCGGAAAGCTGCAACACACATCAATCACATAATTAAACAGAGCCTGGCCATCGATTTTCTTCAAGCAGCGGCAATTATATGGCCCATAACTAATCCATGGCACAATTTGTTTAATGACCCACCCAATCAAAACCTACGCATTTACCCGTATGACTTGGCTTTCGTGTTTTTATTTGTGTTTGCATTACTAACTCTAATTGCCTGATAAGGCATCAACTGCCACTGCCACAACCTTAGCCAAGTCAATGGCATTTCCATGCCGTCATTTCTTTTTACTTGTTGTTGTTGTTGTTGTCGCTGCTGGTCAAAGCAAAGGCCGCAGCCTTGTGGCATTGAAAATTGTGCTGCCTACTTTTGTGCGCGCCTAACAAATGCAAATTGTCCACTATCCATTATCCACTATATCTTATCTGATATCCATTATACACTATATATATATATTATAATATATACTATCTATTATTTACTTTATATTACCTTATATATTATCTACAATACATTATCCGCTATCCATTATCCACTATAAATTATCTGCTATACATTATCCCCTATATATTATCCACTATTCATTATCCAACATATATTATCCACTATCCATTATCCACTATATATAACCTTCTATACATTATCCCCTATATATTATCCGCTATTCATTATACACCATATTTTATCGTATAATCCATTATCCCCTATATATTATCTGCTATTCATTATCCACAATCCACTATCCATTATTCATTATGACCTATTCAATTATCCATTATCCGCTGCTTGTTATCAATTATCCATTACTGCCATATATTTTAATCATAGCTAACTACATGCTGTTCATTTACATTATTAACATTACACGTAATATTTTCCTGCCAAATAATTTCATCATGTTTTTAAAAAGCAACTAACTACATGCAGTTTATTTAAATTACACGTAGGTTACTTTATTTTGAAGCACGCCATTTCATCTAATGACAAGTAAAACTGTCATTTTTTATCGGTCATCATGTGGATAAGTAAATGCATATGTTTGACCTTAACCAAAACTGTTAAAAATAACGAAGAGCGGCAATTTTCTGTAAGCCGAAGTGTAAATACTCTTTCTAAAGCAGCCGATTCGATAGGGACTTGCAGATGTGGTATGAGAATTATTGAGTAATAATATATCTATTTATTACTCAATTAGAAAACTGTGAAACTCGTTGTCTCTGAGTTAGGTCAAAAGAAATAGAAAATGTTCAACATAAGAGTCGCTTTTGGAACGTCATATCTCCACGCGGAGTTCTGTCGTTTTGGAACGTCATATCTCCGTGCGAAGTTATGTCGTTTTGGAACGTCATTTCTCCGGGCGGAGCTATGTCGTTTTGGAACGTCATATCTCCGCGTGGAGCTATGTCGTTTTGGAACGTCATATCTCCGCGCGAAGCTATTTCCCGAGATATTAAAAAAAATCATTGATAAAGTTTCGATTTTCGCACCGACCGCGATTTTGAAAAAAATCGTGATGATTTGGAAGGTCATATCTCCGCGCGGAGTTATTTCGTTTTGGAACGTCATATCTCCGCGCGGAGTTATGTCGTTTTGGAACGTCATATCTCCGCGTGGAGCTATGTCGTTTTGGAACGTCATATCTCCGCGCGAAGCTATTTCCCGAGATATTAAAAAAAATCATTGATAAAGTTTCGATTTTCGCACCGACCGCGATTTTGAAAAAAATCGTGATGATTTGGAAGGTCATATCTCCGCGCGGAGTTATTTCGTTTTGGAACGTCATATCTCCGCGCGGAGTTATGTCGTTTTGGAACGTCATATCTCTCGCGGAGCTATTACTAGAGATTTTAAAAAAAATAATCGAAAAACTTTCGATTTTCGCACCGACCCCGATTTTGAAAAAAATCGTGATGATTTGGAAGGTCATATCTCCGCACGGAGGTATGTCGTTTTGGAACGTCATATCTCCGCGCGGAGTTATGTCGTTTTGGAAAGTCATATCTCCGCGCGGAGTTATGTCGTTTTGGAAAGTCATATCTCCGCGCGGAGTTATGTCGTTTTGGAACGTCATATCTCCGCGCGGAGTTATGTCGTTTTGGAACGTTATATCTCCCCGCGGAGTTATGTCGTTTTGGAACGTCATATCTTCGCGGAGAGTTATGTCGTTTTGGAACGTCATATCTCCGCGCGGAGTTATGTCGTTTTGGAAAGTCATATCTCCGCGCGGAGTTATGTCGTTTTGGAACGTCATATCTCCGCGCGGAGTTATGTCGTTTTGGAACGTTATATCTCCCCGCGGAGTTATGTCGTTTTGGAACGTCATATCTTCGCGGAGAGTTATGTCGTTTTGGAACGTCATATCTCCGCGCGGAGTTATGTCGTTTTGGAAAGTCATATCTCCGCGCGGAGTTATGTCGTTTTGGAACGTTATATCTCCCCGCGGAGTTATGTCGTTTTGGAACGTCATATCTTCGCGGGGAGTTATGTCGTTTTGGAACGTCATATCTCCGCGCGGAGTTATGTCGTTTCGGAACGTCATATCTTCGCCGGGAGTTATGTCGTTTTGGAACGTCATATCTTCGCGGGGAGTTATGTCGTTTTGGAACGTCATATCTTCGCGCGGAGTTATGTCGTTATGGAACGTCATATCTCCCCGCGAAGATATGACGTTCCAAAACGACATAGCTTCGCGGGGAGATATGACGTTCCATAACGACATAACTCCGCGCGAAGATATGACGTTCCAAAACGACATAACTCCCCGTTAGTTATGTCCCGTTAGTTAGTTATGTCGTTTTGGAACGTCATATCTTCGCGGGGAGTTATGTCGTTTTGGAACGTCATATCTTCGCGGGGAGTTAAGTCGTTTTGGAACGTCATATCTCCCCGCGGAGTTATGTCGTTTTGGAACGTCATATCTTCGCGGGGAGTCATGTCGTTTTGGAACGTCATATCTTCGCGGGGAGTTATGTCGTTTTGGAACGTCATATCTCCGCGCGGAGTTATGTCGTTTCGGAACGTCATATCTTCGCCGGGAGTTATGTCGTTTTGGAACGTCATATCTCCCCGCGGAGCTATGTCGTTTTGGAACGTCATATCTTCGCGGGGAGTTATGTCGTTTTGGAACGTCATATCTTCGCGGGGAGTTATGTCGTTTTGGAACGTCATATCTCCCCGCGGAGGTTTGTCGTTTTGGAACGTCATATCTTCGCGGGGAGTTGTGTCGTTTGGAACGTCATATCTCCGCGCGGAGTTATGTCGTTTTGGAACGTCATATCTTCGCCGGGAGTTATGTCGTTTTGGAACGTCATATCTTCGCGGGGAGTTATGTCGTTTTGGAACGTCATATCTCCGCGCGGAGTTATGTCGTTTTGGAACGTCATATCTCCCCGCGGAGTTATGTCGTTTTGGAACGTCATATCTTCGCGGGGAGTTATGTCGTTTTGGAACGTCACATCTTCGCGGGGAGTTATGTCGTTTTGGAACGTCATATCTCCCCGCGGAGCTATGTCGTTTTGGAACGTCATATCTTCGCGGGGAGTTATGTCGTTTTGGAACGTCATATCTTCGCGGGGAGTTATGTCGTTTTGGAACGTCATATCTCCGCGCGGAGTTATGTCGTTTTGGAACGTCATATCTTCGCGGGGAGCTATGTCGTTTTGGAACGTCATATCTCCGCGCAGAGTTATGTCGTTTTGGAACGTCATATCTCCGCGCGGAGCTATTACCCGAGATATTAAAAAAAAATCATCGAAAAAGTTTTGATTTTTGCACCGAATTCGATTTTGAAAAAAAAAACGTGATGTAACCCCTTGCCATTTTTTCGATTTGGGTCAAAATTTTGAATTAAGCACTTATGATAAGAAAGGAATTTAAGTATTACAGAAAAAAGTCGCAATAACCATGCTGTCAAAATGCGAAGCAGCTGAAGCTTATTTAAGATTTTCTATATTCAAAGATCTTTTTTCCGAAGATCGGTGAACTTTTCACTTACCGCAAATAGCACATTGAAGGCAAACAGAACGTATTTGATTAAACTGGGGCCGCAGGCGCGCATTTTGATTCTCATCTAATAATCGAAGGTGTCCGTGTGCGATAAAAATAACCTGCCCAAGTCGTTTCTGTAGTGGGTATTCCAAATTTAGAGCACCTTTGTGTTGATGAGAAAAGCTGATAAGTATGCTGGGATTTGGTTGTTTTGGGAGCGCGCGCGTCTATTCGAAATGGCGTTGCGATTGGAACTGACCGCTAGCTGTTGGCCAGGCTAATGAGGTTGGCAACCAAGTCGGCGGCTTGTGTTGTGGCCACAGCGCCACGGCTGACAACCAACGGGAAACACTGCGGACCCAGACCCAAGCCGCCTCTGGTCATTACAATGGCCAGAAGCTAAAGTAAAAGTGAGTGAAAGTCTTTTCGAGGAAACCATAGCCCGTTCATGGTGCCTATTCAGGCCATGCGATTAGGGCCTGACCGTTGGAATCGGAAGAGGGAGCCGGGTCTTATAACCCATTTTGTTGATTTACATGTAGCTCCTACTAAGGCGCCAACAACTTTGACCAGCGGCTGCGCAAAGTTCCCAGCTTTCTGGGTCGTCTAGGGCTTCCGCAGGGGAAGCCAGGGGGGAGTGCACCAAGTCATTGCACTCATTAGGCGCACTCGACATTCGTAAGGCGCACAGAAAGCGCGAGTATAATAGCACAATACATGCACAGGTGCGACATTCAAGAATTTACCTGTAAGGTTCAACTGTGTGACACCGCAAACTATTTGCGAGGGTTGCCCATAAGCTTATACGCATACTCTGGATTGTATTACTCAGTCCAATACCCTTTTATTTAGTTGATTGACATGAAATGATAGCTAAAAAACATATATGGGAATACCTTAAACAATCTATTAATTGGAACTTAATCAGTTTGGAAGGCCGTCTCCTCTTTTAAGAAAGATAGTTAACTTCTGTGCTACAGTTGAACAAATAAATGTTTACCTAAGCGCAATATATCAGGCAATATAAACGGGTTTATTACTGGGTAATCGACCCGCCGACGTCATAATACTAAATAAATTGCGTGATTTCATGTGAATAACGAAGCGAAAGTTATAAATGCTATTCATGAAATAAATACCAGACTGTGCGAATAATTAAAGTACGCTGGAATTCAAGAGTTGGCACCTAGAAGCATGCCAAGCTCTGTCATCATCCGTGCGGGTTGCGGCTGGGGGGTTGCTGTCACAAGGCTTGGGTTGATTTTAATGTTGCGTGTTGGCCTCTTTGTGTTTTGTCCAGGACACAAATGTCCGATGGTGCTTGGCAATTTTCTTGGGCTCCTGCTGGCTCCATCTTATCGGGTCGCAGAAATCTCGGCTGTGCTGTGGAATTTGGCAATGTTTATGGGTCACGAGTGTGCCCAAAATGAAGTTAGAGTTCTTTTCTTTATATATGGCATAACAATTTCGATTTTATTTCCAATGAACTTCTCAGGCGATATACAAGCAGTTTAGTAGGTCCTTGGACTGTGTGCTCTTGATGCAATGGGGAGTATTTGAAAAACATTTAAGTACTGTATGGAATACGATATGAGTGCGGATTAGTTATCATTATGTAGTATTGCTTCGTCACATGCCGCCCCTTCACAGTCCGCGCGCAATGAGCAGACCGACTACGAATGCCACAATGGACAGGGATTGACCCAGTGTTCCGGCACCGTTGTCGCGGCAGGGCCATTCGTCCACATCCGACCTATAAGTAGAGTTATGTGGTTAGGACACGAGTGTATCGGCCAATGGAGAGGGGTGCGGGACTGGACTGAACACAAACACAATTCACAGATAGTACGGATATGCGTATGGATAGGGATGTCGCAGAAGTGGATATATAACATGATCGTGAGGCTGATCGTGCGGCACGTAAAATGTGGGCTGATTTGCTCGATGACGAGTTCTGTGCAATGCGGATGCTTGAAGTAATTGTTGTTGTTCTTGTTGTTGTTGTTCAGGTGGTTGTTGTGCTGTCGGCTGTTCGTAGTATGAGGCAAGCGTGCTGCAAAAACAAAAGCAGGCCCAGCAGAAAGTGGAGCAGATTGAGGCACATGAAGTTGAGAGTGTGTGGAAATGGTGTGGAATGTGAATGTGGCTAATGAATGAACTAGATGAACTGTTAGCTGGCTTCGATCACAGGTTAAGCAAACACAATTAGACGAATTGGATGGCTTTTCATTAGCATGGAACATTCTAGAGCCTAATCAAGTTAGTATCAATATAAGTACATAAAATACAAAGCGCAGAGCCACCCTTCAAGCCACAAACTCAGCAATAGACGTTTATTTAGGCCTACAATAATATTAATGACAGGCACAGACACACATGCATACACACACATGCACAGATACAGCTACTGAGAGGGAGTAAGCCGGATATAGCCAGTCATTCAATATGTGAATGTATGTATAACAAATGTGGCGAATGATGAGAGAGCGTGTGTATAACAGTTTTAGTTAATTTTACAGTTAGCATTACAGAGAGTACAGTGGTAAGAACACAATAGTTTATTAGCTGACACAAATTAGAGAAGTTATTTTTTTTTATAAAGAGACATCAATTGAGTTCATTTACGAATTGCTCGGATATTTACTTAATGCCAATAACACCGCAGGCTGCAAAGAGAAAGGGTATTTATAAGTATTTCGATTCGGACGAGAAGTATATTCAAGTACGCACCAATACGGCCGCCCGCATTGCCCGTCTTTTTGGAGTCCGTGTGGTTGCCCAGGCCCAGATCGTCCTCCAACTCGTGCAGCACCACACTGCGTCCAATAATTGTACGCTGGCCGTTTAGGCTGATAACCGAGTCCGTGTAGGTGATGTCGATGGTCCGGCTGGCGTTCACCTCAATGTTGCCCAGATCGCCGACGTGACGCACCTCGTGATGCGGTGCGCCATGGTCCACCTTGTCGGGATTGTAGTGTCCGCCCAGGCTGGTGCAACCGTTGCTCAGATCTCCCTTCTCGTGAATGTGGAAGCCATGCTTGCCCTCCATCACGTTCTCCAGCTGTATGCGCACATGGACGCTCTGGCCGCAGTCGTTCTGGATGAAGGTCACGTTGCCCTTCACCTGCGTGTTGTCCGACTGCAAGGGCCCGGTCAAATAGGCAATCGCCTCCATGGGCGTGTTGCGCTAAGCACGATTGGTAGAATTATAAAAATTAACTCTATGTATTGCTTATTTATTTGCTTGCACTTACCGTCTGTGCACCGGCGCTCAGTGTGGCGCAGAGGGCCAAGGTGATGGTCAGAAGATGAAACATTTTGGGCTGCAAGATAAGATTGGCATTAGAAGAAACCCTCGAATGGGACTATGCTAAGTACACAAACACACAAAACACTCGCATATCTCATTTGCAGTTACGTCAGATAACCCAGGTCTGACAGCGCTACCTTGATCTATGCTTGACCGTGCCGCCCCCCCACCCACATGCCGCCTTAACTTGCCGCTAGTTTTTATTCAATTGAGAGACGAGCGCACTCTGATTACTGGCAAACACACGAGCATATACAAAGTCATCCGGCTTTTTGGAAATACTTAATTCAGAGATGATCTCTATATATATCAGATCACTGCAGGGAACGCGATCACTGCTATAAAATTATAATATATAAATATCTATACTTGACTAAGTCGAAGGCTTCAGGAAACTGGCAAGACCCAGACCTAGTTCTGGTTGCCAAACGACAATTGGCTTATTCTTGAAAATATATAATATAATATGTAAAAATTTGTATGTACTTGGTTGAATTAGATTTTCCCTGAGCGGCTGTTATATTTTCTATTCTGTGATATTGTAAACTTAAAAAAAAAATTTGAACTTATTTATTTGTTATTTTAAAATTACAATCTGAATACGGACAAGTTAAGTTAAAGCGTGTTGGGTACAAATATATATTTTTTATTTATTTATTCAGAAATGTTAAGAATGTTGAATGAAAACGTGACTATTTGAAAATTATTTAACTTGACACATGTGCATGGGAAATATTTGTAGCTTGTTATGAATCTTGTATTCAAAGGAATGCAACTATATAATTGGCATATATTCGATTTTTGGAAATTATAAGTACTGTTATTTATTTGAGAGCGCACATCTCTATGAAAGCGCCATCAGCTGTTTGTGAGCTCGGAAATGTTGCATTGCCGTGTGTGCGGAATTGAAGCGCCTAACCTCGATTTACGATACGATTTGTGGGTCATGCACTAATATATTTAGTATGTTTATTCTATGTACAAGCAAATGAATATAGCCTTTTTCACAGGGTTAAGTGCGGATGGCCAACAAGTTGCCGTTGCCGTTGCCGTCGAAGGCCAATCAACAATCTCTTTTTGTACGCACTTCTCAATTAATTTATGACTGTTCATTACTTAATGAAACGTAGGAGATGTGTATGGTTTATGGCTTGACACATTCATAAGCAAATAAATATTTGATAATTCTCGTTTATCTAGGGCTTATCACGGCCCGCTCTGGAGCATATGCGCAGCCAATACTTGCCACTTCAACTGGGTTGCACGTTCAGAAGTTATTTGCCCGGACTTCAATCTCGTTGTTGGCACGCAAATCAATATTCTCACGGATAAGATAAGTTGTTTTTTAGTCTAGCTGTACCTGAGCACTGAGTGCGTTCTACACAGCACCTAATTTCTGAATGCTATTCACTTAAATTCTCGGCCAATTGTCGTGTGTATCGAATAGGTATTATTAGGGTGGCTGGGCCTAACAAAAATGTCAACAATGATTAATGAAAAATTAATGAGCTAAAACGTTTGCTGACCACTCTCCGTTTCGTTGCCACTAGCCAGTAACTACTGTAGCTCTAATCAATCGGTTGTCAACGATTTGCAAGTCACCTGCGGCAGCCCCTAATCATCAGCATGAACTACTTCAAACTCAATTGACCCTATATAAAACGACTTACGCACTATAATACAACACTCGCTAAAATTCGCAACGAGTTTAAGCTTCGAGCAAATCAAATGAGCAGTTGATACGAGAGCCTGCATAAAATGATCAGGGGGCTGCTTGAAATATTATCGCACATGTTGTCGTTTATATCTTTCCGGCTTTTGTATATCGTAGACTGAATTAGTCTAATAAAAAATACTTAGTAGAAGTCACTAAACCAATTGTCACATTACAAATTTTAATATTATGTGAGCGAATTAACACCTTTTGAATTTAGATGTGTCTCTTCAACTTTTCTCTCATAAAATGCTCAATCGAACGGATAAATTTAACTATGCAAAATTGGTATATCTATAGCTATCGCTAAATGCCGCTATCCCAACATGCTAAATAGTGATGCACAATTAGCGTATACTATGCATGTTGATAGGCAACTGAAGTGACCCTGAATTTCAGATGATTGTTCACATAGGAAATCTCAGTTCCCAGCTCTTTCCGACTTGTTGTTATTTAGACAATACAATGGATATGCTGTATTTCCAAACCCCAATTAGCACACAGTAAAATGTTTATATTTTAACTAACTAACAAACTGCAAGACTGATGTCAACTGCCGGACAGATAAGATCGGAAGAGCATTCGTCTTATGTGTGCATATCATATTGTAAACAATATATGTTTCGCTTATACGGTATTTTCTCGAATTCGGGTGCAAGAGAACCGTTAAAGCAAAGCAGCGGCAGATCGACTGCAGCTTTGCTTGACTCGTGCTTGTTCTTTAAGCTGCTACTTTCGGGATCCACATATACACACATGTATTTATGTAGATATATGTATATCCGTATAACAGGTTACAGTAACCCACACAAGGGCGGACCAATGAACGCGAAAATTGAGGTATTCTCTGTACTGTTTAAACTGCGTATGCAGCTCTGCGAAAACTGGTTTTGATTATTGTTTCAGTGAACAATTATAAATCGAATTTTCAGAAGTGTTCTTTTCGTTAAACGTTCGAAGCAAATGCTCTTGCGCATTTATAACCAGGTGCAGTTATTAAAAGTTATTTTGTGGAAATTTATTTAGTTTTAATTGTGTTGTGTGCGCTTACCTAGTTTGCAGCTGTTGCTTGTTCTCTTTGTATTTATTAGTTAATTGTAAACTGATTCACAGCTATACTAAATTCACCGCTTTAATTGAAGTGCAGCGTTGCGTTTGCTTGAAGACCTGCGAAACAACTGATTTTAGCTTTGGCATTGCCAGCGCAAGTTGGCTGCGTACCTGAGCTTTAATGCGAGATTGTGACGCCGACGCCAACGCCGACGTCGACGCCGACGTCGTGGGTGGCAAGACACGAACAACGATCGTGCGCTATCGTTATCTTCGTCCGGCCATGCTTGCGTTTACTCTCTCGCTCTGTCTCTTGCAGCTACACACGTGCTCGCTCGCTTACACAGCTTACAGTTAAGGGCTCTCTTAGCTTATCTGTTTTCTCGACTTCTCTTCGGGCTATCAGATCTCAAATGTGCATTGTCATATTTAAGAGGTGCTGTAATTCTTAAATTAATATTTATGAAAATATTCAGAAATTATACATGTGCTGTAAAACACAACTACGTGAGTTCCGTTCAAATACTTATCATTTGGCCATGCTTTATGAATGAGGCGAAATGATCGTGCTCTCAGGTCCGATCTACTAAATTCCTTTTGCTATGGGAACATAGCTTAGAATAATAAAAACCTATTTAAACGCATAATTTGGATAAGACTTAATTGGATTCGCAGAAATCCAAGCTTATAATATATACTGATATATATAGATATACATATTCTTGATCAAGGCGACGAGTCGAGTCAATTGAGCTCAGGTCGGTTTGTCTGTCTGTCGGACACGTCGATCTCGGACCAGATACTAAACTGTAAAATATATTCGACCAAACCATTCACAAAATGCTATCCATATCTATAATATATCCAAAATATTGATAATAGAGAAGAGACACCAATTTTGTGCTTTTCTCATATAATATAAGCCGATTTCTTGCAGCTGTCCGTCTGTCTATTGTAGGCACGATCGATACAAAACTTAGAATCTTCGAAAAAACACTTTGTTTTTTTTTTAAGATATCTTATTAATTGTTCGTTTAACTACGCTGCTTATATATGAGTTAAATCTTTTGGAGAACACACGACTATATTAACTATAGGAAAATCGGTTTTTGCATGGTTAAATATTCAATTTTACAAACATTTTTTTAACATATCTGTAAGGTAAATGTCTGCAAGGGTATTTAATCAACGGCGTGCAGAAAATATCCGTACTTTCGGGTTCATTTTCAAAAATGACCTAATTTTCTATGTAAGACAGATTTACGAACACGTCACATAATCTTTTGCAAAGTCACCTTTGAAATTATGAATATTTGATAATAATATGTTATCAAAATAGTTTTCTTTTATTTTGAAAAGTAAATAATTCGTAAATAAATAAATATCTATCGGGTTGAAAATTGTGCTAATCGAGTTCGCAAACAATCTTCCGATTCATCCAAGTTGGCGATAATAAAGCAAACGCGAAATGGAAGCCAGGCCTTAATAATGATATCTGGTAGGTACATAGTTATATTTATTTTAATAGCTGCAGGTAAATGTGGAATTCTACGTATTCGACAAATTTCGTAATTTTAATTAGGGTTTAGTTTTGCACATGTCCGCCTGCTGGGAAGTCCGCTGCGAAGCAGCTCTTTCTCCAGTTTGTAACCTAAATCCAGATGGGATTCCAATTAAGGTCCGAGCCTCAGATGAGTTTGTGCCGGCCCAGCGAGGCTGTGTGCATGGGACTGCAGTTCTCGATGAGCTCCGCACTCGGTGCCGATCCGTGGCCCTGGCCCTCGTCGCTGGGCGAGGAGCCGCCGCTGGCGCTGCTGTTGTGGTGAACCCGTTTCATGGGCCGCTTGCGGTCGTGCTCGGCACAGGGATTCAGCTCCACCGTCTGCAGGCTCTGGGCGCGCTGCAGTGACAGGCGCAACGGCTTCTTTGGGGGCGTGGGTCGTACGGTGCAGGAACCCGTTGTCGGCTTCGACTCGTTCTCGCTGTCAAAGTCGAGGGACTTCACGCTGCGCATGTCGCTGGGCAGACGCGAGCGCATGGTCTGGGCCTCGCTTTGGCGCGGGGTGTCGCGTCGTCGTTCCAGGCTGGGTTCGGAAAGAATGTTTGCTTCGTTAGTTAGTGTGGAAGCATAGTATACTAGTTGGTCTTACCCGTTGCACTGATTGAGATGCTCCACGCTGCGTGCATGCGCGCTCATCAGATGCTCCCTGTGCAGCTGCTGCTGCTGCTGCAGTGCATCTCGTGGCCGTTCTCTGTCCCTGTCTCTTTCCCTGTGGCGCTCGTGTCGCTCGCGCTGGCGCTCCTTCTCCCGTTTCTGCTGCTGCATGTAGGCTGAGTCGCTGTTGATGGATATCTTGGAGGCGGACAGCGACTTGGACGGCATGGAATAGAGATGGGGATGGGGCAGGCGTTCGCGCAGATCAATGTGCGTGTTCTCCTTGATCAGCGTCTTGGTGACATGCGCCGGCGGCAGCTCGTCGCCCACCAGCTCAATGGGCTTGCCCCCAACAAGCGTGGTGATGTAGTTGCCGCGCTGGAAGATCAGCGGCTTGTCCGGCGGAGTGGAGGGCGACGGTGGCGAGGATATGCTTATGCTGGTCACATGTGCGTTGTTGGACTGTGTTGTCGCTGCTGGCAATTGTTGCTTCTGTTGCTGCGGCTGCTGTGATTGGAGCTTTTGCTGCTCCTTAACTGTTTGCAGTTCCCGCACCTGCTCCTCCAGGTAGGAGATGCGATGCTGCAGACGCATGTTGTTCTCCTTCTCCTGGTCAAGCTGCTTTTGGGGTATCGGCACGGACTTCTTGCGCAGCACGACCATCTGGCACTTGCCCGAGTTGCCCACATGCTTCTGCAGCTCCTCTTTGGTCTTGCTGGTCACCAGCCGCCCATTGATCTCCAGTATGCGATCACCCTTGTACAGCCCGTCTCCCTCCAGGGCCCACTCCACAAAGAAGCCCGGCTGATCGGGCCTCTGCTGGGCCGCCCAACGTCCCGAGGTGGCGTGCACGGCATGCAGGCTCAGTGTGACGCCCGAGCTGATGATGTTGTAGAGTGTTTGCGCCTCCGGCTTTGATTTCTCCAGGCGCGCCTGCAGGGCACGCGCCTCCTCCACGATCGAGAGCATCTGCAGCTCTTCGCGACCCAGCGCATACTCCAGTTCCGCCTGGCGAATGCGTATGTCGATGTTGCTACGCAAAGTGAAAGACCGCAGTCAGCAATGTGCAGATGGTGGAATAACACTGTGGAGGCACTTACTCTGTGATGTCCAGCTTCTCCAGGGCGCTCTTCAGGTTCTTGATTTTGATGCGCTTGTTCTCCGCCTCGGCCTTGAGGCGGTTCAGCTTATGCTCTGCCGCCGGCTTCTCCGACTCATCCAATGGCGGGCCACTGGGCCGTGGCAGCTTGCCCAGACACAGCTGGATGCGCAGGTTCTGTATGACGGCCTCGCGATCCTGCAAGGCGGACCGCAACTCCTTCGACTCGCTGCGTGTGGAGCGCGAGGAGAGCGTGCCGCCCAGAGAGCCGCCCTTGCGTCGCCTTCCCGTTGTGGAGCAATGCGAGGCGGCACTGTTCAGCTGCAGCTGCGTCTCGTGGCTGCTGTCGCCCGCCGCCGCCGCCGTCGAGTGCAGACTGTACTTGGCCGAGCTGGCGCAGCTCTTGGGATTGAGTATAGTCTGCAAAGGAGATCAGTTATAAATATATGTTTATTAAAAGAACGGCTTTTGTTAATTTAAAAATTAGTTAAAAGGATGTTTATATTAACAATGTTAGCTAAAGTTTAATATGATTAACAAATGGTAAATAAACTATTTGCACATTAAAACTAGAATTTGCCGAGGAATAAGCGAAGGCGCGAGGGTCGTAAACCTGAGCTCCTGGGAGAGCTGAAAAGAGTTTGTTAATGTTCCTTTTTATTTAAGGAACATACATTTGAGGAACATAAAAATGTGTGTAGTTATTATAATTAATATCGATTAAATTAAATGTGAATGCTGAAGGCGACACTCAAAGAGACACACCCAAAAAAAATGTCACTCGAACTCTTTTCGACAGTCGCGCATTCGTAGCTGTTATTATAAATATTTGATAAGGGCCTCTCGTGATAACGATTTAATGCTAGATGGGGGAGTGCGACCTAAAACGTGGTACTCAAAATCAATACTCTATTCCTAACTGTTTCGGGTTAATCAAAAACATTTGAATGTACATTAATTATAAAATAGACTGACGACATTTAAATGGAAAGCACAATTTCTTTTTTATAGACAGCACGCAATTTAAAGTAGAACTTAAATAATTGGACAATAATTGTCATATCTAAGTGGGAAGTAAATAATTCAGGTGAATCATAGAATCTATTTGTTTTGATTGAGCTTTAACTTAAAGTCCATTACGTAATCCATTTTCAAATATTTATTTATGCTTTCATATATATTGTATATATAATATATATTTATGTATACAAATATATTTTTCAGAGGTATTTAAAAGTTATATGTATATATAAAGTATGTGGGGATATTGCAGTCAAGGTATAAGACGTAATCCGAGGTGTGTTTTGAGCCATTTCCCCTTGAAGGGTCGGTATATATAACCATGTGTATATCTAAAGTCCCTTGCAGTTTCTACTCCTTGGGTATGTCGTATACGCCGCACTCCCGATTCGCGGGCAGCGAAGCATCTGCAAGGCACACGAATGAGTTTTCAGTGGAAGCCAATCATCAATTCTTAATGCATACCGATTTTCTTGGGATAGGGCAAATTTAGGTTTTCCATGATCTTGATGAACTCATCGATAGTCTTGGTCAGTCGCGGGTTGTAGCGCTTCTCCTCCCATACGCTGCTCTCGAGCTGACCTCTGCAGCGGCAGAAGCAAAGCATTATCCGGCTGGCAAATGCACATGGCAATTTCTAACTTACTTGTAGTCGTGCGCCGGATAGATGCGATAGTTGTCCGGCAGGCTAAAGATCTTGGCGTGCACATTCTCATAGAGGCTCTTCGAGCTGCCCTCCTGGAAGTCGGTGCGTCCGCAGCCGCGAATCAGCAGCGTGTCGCCCGTGAAGATGCAGCCCTGCTCGTTGATCACGTAGCTCATGCAGCCGTTGGTGTGGCCAGGTGTGGCCAGCGTATCTATCGCGTGGCGTCCGAACTCGATGCGATCGCCCTCCTCGATGTGGCGATCCGCCTTGGCGCCGCTCGCCGCTGCGATCACCGACTGGCAGCCCGTCAGCTGACGCAGCCAGCCGCTGCCCGTTATGTGATCCGCGTGCATGTGCGTGTTAACTGAAGAGTTCGAACGGGTTTTGTGGTCAGCCGCTCACGGTACATGCGCCCCCTCACACCGCTCACTTACTGGCGTATTTCAGCTTGAAGCCGAGATCTTTTACGAGCTGCGCGTCGCGCTTGGCCTGCTCCAGCACGGGATCAATGATGACGGCCTCCCTGGTGCCCACATCCGCCAGCAGATAGCTATACGTGCTGCTCTCCGTGTCGAACAACTGTTGGAAACACTTTGTGTCAGCCACTGCAACGCAATTATTTCACACAATGCCATCACGCACCTGCCGAAAGAAGAAATCCGGCGTGAACGGCTTACGCTCCGGCAGACTCATTGCGGCTGATTGGCTGTGCAGCAATCGTGATGAAACAGGTGCGCAGAAGCTTTTGATGTGCCCGGAAACTGGGGTCGGTACAGGTGCACTTACGCGAATCAGAGAAGGTAGCCGAGCGAAAGCTGAAAACAGACTGACGCCTGCGATTCTCATTTTATTGGAGCTTGGTCGATGAGTGTGCGATATAGCGCGAGGGGGTGGTGTGGGGTGGGGTTTACAGCCGATTAAAATTAACTACCGTTGCGTATATGTGTGTGTGCGCGTGTGTGTGTGCGCGTGTGCGAGGGTCTAAACTGACGCTTAGAGCTTTTGCTGGCTGTTGTTGTGCCGGTCGCGCTGTTATTGCGAAAATCTTCGTGTGTTTACTTCTGTTATGTGTATAGATAAGCACATGTGTATATTGAACAGTATAAATATATTAGCGAAATGTTTGCAAACGTTGCTATGTGGATTTATGGCTGATTCCAGTTAATGAATCGCTAATTAAGCAATGTGTGTATGTACATATAAACATACATGTGAATGTGTTTTGCCTTCAACATTCTATGTTATCTGTTGCATTCACAGCATAGCTGTTGCGATTACAGCAGATTCTACAATGTTAAACACTTTCAGCGCACAACAAATAAGCATTCGTTTACAAACATTTCTATCAAATTGGACGAGTTACAAACAAATTGCACGACAAATAGGAAAGCTGTCGAAACCAACAGCTGTTGGCACGCGTACGCTCTTTCGTCAACTGAAAGCTTTGTCAAGTGGCGTCGAGCTTTTATGCGTCAAAGCTCGCTAACCTGTTGCCAATGACGCAATGAAAGCTTTCGGTTGCGAGTACGTGCCAAGCGACAGCAAAACTGAACGACGAAGCTAACATTGCAAGTTGAAGCGCCCGAAGCGGCCGTTACATCGGCTCTCGAATGCACTCAAAGAACAACCACCGAATGCACCGAATATGACGCACCCTTCAATTGAATGCAAAGCAAATGAAAGCAAATGATTTAACCCTTATCTTGCAATGTTTTTGGGCTGCACGGAAGTTGTTCGAGCATTTTATACTAAATATATGACCGGACCGGACATTGTCCAGTCTGAGCGTGAGAACTTTCTGGTGCGATGATCCTTTTTTTTCTGACTTCGCTAGCTCATAAATACACTTTTCCTCATTACTCAACAGTTGCAACTTTGAACCGCAGCTGAGAAAAAATTGGTGTAATTTTGTGGAAGAAATTAATTGACCGTATTTAAAAGAAGGATATGAGCGTTATAAAGGGTGTGAATTTCTGCTCGGGGTGGTAATTTAGGAAACGTTATATTATATACATAGATAACGCTAATTGGCAGCTTCTATTCGATCAACATTTGAGTTTGTATCTAATACTCTGAAGTTCGAAAGTTCATTGACATATGCACGTAATTGTAAGGTACATATTACAAATAGTTTCTTATGACGAATGGGCCGCCCAGTTAACGGGCCTCATCAGTGCTAAGCATCCAAAAATACGCGTAAATAACTCTTACTTTCCATCATTTCGGTTTGAGTGAAAGTCGTTCAATAGAAGTGTTTTACAGTTGTTATTTATAGTTTTGTGGATGACAGCCCAACCATTTATTTATATTATTTATTTTTTATCAAATTGCAAAGAAACGCATTTTAGTCTCTTATATGGAAAGTCAACAATATGTTGCTGTTTTACGTTAACAGTTGGCGGATATAGCTGTGTTATCTATTTGTAATATAAGTCTGCTTTTATGGCTTTAAAGACGCCTACAGGTGCATTTGTTTTTTCACTTTAGACATCAAAATACGTTTGATACCGTAGGTGTCACATAAATGCCTATAAAACACATTGCAACATTCCACTGAGGCTACACTTAAGATTAAAGTATTATGTGTCTATTTTTAAAATATATATATCATATCGGTAAGAACATAAAATTAGTTTAACCAAAAACTGTTTTGTGGTGTAGTTTTTACTCTTATTACTGCTTGGCACTGCTCTGCACTGCTTTCGACTGCTTAGTTTAATGTTCTGTTACGTGACAACATAACAGCTGCCATGTTAAATATTTTTTTGATTCTTGGTTAAATGTAGCCAAATCAATTAACAGTTTCTGTAAGCATTTAACATTTTTCTTAGACAGAGTTTTATTTATTTGCCGTTTGTTATTTTGAACACTTAGACGAATATTTGAATAATGACTTGCTGAATGAAAAAATTCGCATTTATATTTTGTGGAAATTCGTTGGGAAATTTGTTTTGTTTGTTTTTTTTTTACGTTTCATCTTCTTCAGCACTAAATGAATAGCTGTGAGGCATGCAGCAAGATTTGTCGGAATCGGTTGGCGTCGAGAAAGTGTTGCTTAAAAATGCATTACGATGCATTAACAATTAATAGCTATAAATTGTTGGAGCTGGCTTTGGATTTTGCAGTTTTCATCTTTGGCCAGGCATAATTTTTGATCGCGTTGCATGTTGGCCTCGTACACCTGTATTTTGATTTGTGAATTTCATTTTCGACAACTTTCTAGCGTGAAATTATGTAAAGCAACTGATGCTGATATTTGTATATTGCGCGTGCCTGAAGCTAATTAGCTGCACACTTGCATAATCGAACTAGACAATAGGGCGCTACGTGCACCCAACCATAATTATATGGGCATATGTTTACACAACTTGAACTGGGCGTGAACTTACCATTGACGCCGATTTCTGCTTGGCAAAGGCGCGATGATGCGCGGAAATCGGCTCGCTAACCACACTTCCGGTGTCCATGTTCCGACGGATCTTTGGGCTTTGTCTGCAAAGAGAGAAACAGAGTTTAGGATCGTTTGCCTTGACTATCTTCGTGCCCTCTGAACTTCTCAGCCGCCTGACTTGAAGATTGCCGCAAGTTGACAGCCCCAAAGCCCAAGTGCTGCCACTTCAAAGTCAGTTTAATTTGCGTTCCGCATCGCTGCGCAAAAACAATTGCCAGCCACAGGCAGTTGAGGTTGTCTTCGGTCTTGGGTCTGGGGTCTGGGGTCTGAGGTCTTGGGTCCTCGTATCCCAGTCAGCTATTTTCGGTTCGTCGATCTCAGATTCTTTGGCATGTTACAGTTTTGTAGCGCGTCTCGTTGAGAGTTAGTTTAATTAGCTGTCGGCTATGCTTGCATTTTTTGTCCGTTCTCAATGAACGTGAATGGGTATTAAAGTGCTTATATCATGACGCTTCTTTTACGAGCAACTAGAAAGAATCTCTTTAATGACATGCAAATGCGCTGAAAGCCGAAAGCCAATAGCGATGTGCCGTTACGACGCCAACAACAGCAACAAATGCAACTGCAACTGACGGCAACACGCACTTTCTGCGCTGCAGATACATATCGTACTCATGGATGCGCACAGTGTACACAGCAGCACACTCGAGTCTTTGTCTGGCAGCCGCAAAACAAAGATATGCATTCGATATGCAGATTTGCCTAGCGACACACACTCAAACACACACAAAGACTCAAACACACGCACGCACAAGATACACACACACAAAAAGATACAGATACAGCTATGAACATAGCAAGATGATGCTGCCGCTGGCTGTCTGCATAGATCGCATTACCTAATGCGGCGGCAACTGTTGCCTTTGTGCTTTTCACTTGTTGTTTTGTGTTTTTTCCTCTGCCTCTCAAAGCGCACAAGAAACAAAGAGTCGCATTCACGGTTTGTCATAGATGCTGTGACACACAAATGTATCTCAGAAATGTATCTTACAAATGCTGCCTAAGTTTTCTGTCCTTGTCTATGGCGAATTATGTTCTTGAAAGTGCAGTGAATTGTTAGCTTCTTAAAAATACAATATATAATAATATAAAATATACATGTATTAAAATATATATATTATTAAATAAGCTGTGCCAAATGTAAATTTTGAGGGGTTGTCAACACTGCACTATGTCGTGATAAATTAATAAATATTTTCATAAATTTTAAATTTTGCAGATGAGCTCAACATTTATTAATTTATTTATTTGCAACCAAAATTGACATTTTTTAGAGACCCTGAACCCCTGCATCGAGCCCTTGTGCATGCTTTAGCATAAATTTAATTTTGGTCTGCATGCTAAATACTAAGCCGAGCTACTAATATTAATACCAATCCATAATCGTGCTTGGCATTATCTTGAATTCGCACAGATTTTTGCGGAGACCTTCGGTTTGCTTGGCTTCTGCGACGCTTTGTGGCAATGTTGATGGTGTGCGAACACCTGCGACTCGAGTACTCGCACCTGTGTTTGCTTGTTCTCTGTATATAACATCACTTTGACATTGTGCTATTTTGAGTGAACTTCCTTGGCTTCATGATGAAACAAGGCAGTCATTAGTCTCCCAGACTAATTACCATGCTGGCATCGTTGCCGCAAATTCAGCTTAGAACTTCATCAGCATGTCGGCTATGGTTCTTATCTGTGTGTTGGCTTCGGTTTGCGTGTTGGGCACAGGTAGACAGACAGACAGACAGACAGGTAGACAGAGAGATTCAGGAACTACACGATACGTTCTAGTCGCAATGGAGTCCATTGTTTTGTTCGAGACTCTAATGTGGGCCCATCATTAATCTAATTTAGCATTAATGCTTAATTATGACTCCGGCGATCAGCTCAGAGAGACCTCCAAATTAGAGCGTCGCCGAGCGGGCAGACCGAGTACAGATCATTCATCAAGAATAGATTATCCCACAACCGAAATGAAACAATTTGTGCAAATTGTGGCCCTGCAAGTCTCCAAGGGCTTCCAAATTGTTGCAGTGTCAGTTGCAGCGTGAGAGACAGACAGGCAGACAGGCAGGGCAACAAGAACTTTTGCACTCAACCGTGAAGATCGTTCAACCATGTGCATATAGAAAGAAGTATGGCCATAATATGCTCGCATAATGCCACAATTTGCGTGTCCAGCCTGCAGGGCTCTGTCCGCAATTCAATAAGAACAAGTGCAACAAGACATGGCCATAAGTCAAGACGGCAACGGCGACTGTTTCCCAGGCAAAAAACTGGGGGCGTGTGGGCGCTGACGGGGCGTTGAGACCGCTGAAGCGGGACGAAGACCACGACCAAACCCAAGACCAGAAGAACCACGAGAAATAGCTAGAGTTGTACTTATTTATGCCTCTGCCTGATAATTACCAAACGACGGTCGCCGTCGTCCACCGAACTGCCTACGAGGGTGAATCCACGAGAACTTAATAGAACGAAATTATATCTAATAGATCACAATTTCAACTTACTGAACGGCCCTCGCTTTAATAATTTCATTTAGCTTGGACGCCGTGAAGCGGCAGCCAGTTTCCGGTGTTAGTCAACAGTGAAACAGAAACTTGACAAAAAAAATATATATATACATCTACCCGTGTTTTGGCACTTGGTGCGAGGGGCGGGACAGGTGTTAGTGGAACAGTTCAGCAGTTGAATAGCCTGTAATATCCAAGAACAAGAACTAGTTGCAAATGTACTGTTAAATTTATGTTGAAATACACACAAATTGCATTCGGCCGCGGACGATGTCGACGCGCTGGTCAAGCAACTGGGACATCTGCAAGGTGAAAGAAACTCGTTGCTGAGTTGACCGTAGATTCCGGTCTATC